TTAGAGAGGGCTGAAAGCCCTATGAAGTGGTATATAAGTCTAATTGCTATTGCTATTGCTAAATTAACAGGTGGTTACTGTACTAGCCATTTTTTATGTGGATGGTTCTAGATGGCTCAGTAAGAGGAAGAAACCTAGCAGGGAAGTCTTGGGAAAAAGCTGCTTGTCAGCTTTTTTGTCAGATGAGAGAGACTAAGATCCGAACATGCTCCTTTCCCATCATGATGAGTAGAGAAAGAAAACTGAGGAGCAAGATCACAATCTACATGAAAGTGCCCTTAAATGACAGCTTATCATTAATCACTTCTCTCTCTCCCCCTCCCCATCCATCCATGCATCCATTATCTGTCTGTCTGTCTGTCTATCTTCCATCCATCCATCCATCCATCCATCCATCCATCCATCTCTCACATACCCTTCTAGTCCTTCATAAATCACTCTGTTCTTATAGTGCAGGAATGTCAAACTCAAGGCCGGGGGGTTGGATCTGACCCGTGGGGTGCTTAGATCTGGCCTGCCCTGGAAACAGCAAAGGACTGGCCCGCGGTGCCTCTGCCAGTGAAAACGGAGCTCTGTTTTCGCTGGCAGAGGGTTGCAGGAAGCCGTTGCTCGCAGCCAAAAATGGAGCTTGGGAACTGTGATATCAAGCTGTCATGCCCCCTAGCCACGCCCACTACCCCCGAGGTCAAACATAACCCTGATGTGGTCCTCAATGAAATTGAGTTTGACACCCCTGCTAAGACAAAACAATACAGGATTTCCCCACAACTTTTACAGCAGTCACACTTCACAAGATCTCAGGCACAGTTCTACCTTTGCAATGTGGGTGTATGAATATTTTATCTGCATACACTTCCAGGATCACTTTTTAGTGATTAGAAAAGCAATTTTAAAAATTAGATATTAAAGTTTAAAAAAATGGTCTTCCTGTACTAAAGAGTATATATCAAAAATATCCACAACTATTTATTTATTGGCTAAAACCCCTGGATATAGCCTTTCTTAAAAATAGCATACTGCCTTACAGAAAGAATAAGGACTAGCTCTTTTTAGTTTATAGAAGTTGAGGATCTGATACTATTGTTCATTTATGGGTACTTACTATCCTTTTACTCCATCTTACGGACATCTATATTAAGAATTTCCTATCTATAGAGCTAAAGACTGAGGTATGCATGACTCCCATTTTCATTGAAAACTGAGAAAAATGAGTTAGGCTGCAGCTGAAAAATTTAAATGTAATTTACCACTCTCTTTCTCCAATATATAGCAGTCTTCCTGTTCTACCTGCTCAATGTGGAAAAACAACATTTGATTACAGAATGTTTAGGGTAGGAAGAAGCTGTGATTAACTAGATTCAAATCATATACATGAAACTCCAAGTTGATTTCATACCTTCCAAAATAACATTTCCTTTTCTCTAGCAGAAGGTTGGGGAATCAGCCACCGCTCTTGCCTTTTTTATATTTTGTTTCTGTAACCCCTACATACAAAAATGCTTGCTGAACCTCTATGCAGGGGTAGCAGAGATACATAATTGCTGTCTTGTGCCCAGGAGTCAGGATAAAACGAGAATTTTCACCCATGAGGGTATAGACTACCCACAACAGTTTGCAGATCTGCAGTAATTCAAAGGAAAATGTCAACTTGCCAATGGTTTTTAATAAAACTGCATCAATCAGAAATCTCAAAATAGATAAGACTGAGAGATCCAATTGTGGTGCAAAACACCACTGCGAAAATCTTTTTGTCACTTTGTGTACAAGTTTTTGTTGTTTCTGACTAATAGAAGTACGTCTCTAAAAAGGCTGAACTAGTGTAACTACAATGTGCTGTTTTTGCTAACTTAAAATATTCCATTCCATTCAAAGAACTGGAAGGGTTATCCTGTCTTGTGCTCTCCCAAGAGGCAATATTTTATTCATTTTTCATACCTACTTATATATTAACAAAACAAACAAAATGTAAAAAAAAGTTATGACATTTATGTAGTTACTTACCAAGCACATCTAAATTATATTAAAGTAACCAAAATATTTTTACAACTCCCAAGGTATGTCACAACTTTTGAATACCTCTAATGTTCGGAAATTGAAAGCTGAAAAATTTGACATGCCCTAAATAGTAACTAGAAGCATTCCCCAATATTTTGACATCCATATCTGTTGGCAATGGATGCCTGAAGATAGCTCTGATTGCAACTCTCAACATCCATACTATTGACTCAAATATCTAGGGTTGAGGTGAATTGGGGTTTCCAAACAGCCACAGCTTGCCAGTGCCTCCTTCCAATTGGGTTTATGTCTAAGGCAGGACTAGAAATCAGTTTCACAATTTTTAACCTGATGCCCTAACAGCTCTTTTATACAGAACTGTAATTTTATTGATTGAGCTCACCCAGCAGCAATTTTATGAAAGGAAAAAAGCCCCAGGGTACTGATGAAAAGAAACCCAATTTCCTACACTTCTTACTATATTACTTACACTACAGAAAAGAGACTACTACATTCTCTTGCACCTTATGCCTATAGATTCAACCAACCATCCAGTTATTATAACCCACTTGTTCAGATATCTTAACCGGGATTGAGACCTGTGTCTTCTTATGCACCTTCCATACCTCCTTCTTTACTTTGTCTGCATAGATCTGAAATAACTCTCCACTAATATTCTGCCCATACAGATGGCTGCTGCCTACGCAGCAAACCATGAAGGGCATTAAAAAAAGTAGAAAGAGGATGACAAGAATTTGGCAAGCAGAAAAGCATCTGCCCCTATTCTCACTTCCATTTAAATGGATCCTGGCATTCTTGTGGTATTTGTCTAATCAGAGCGCAGGTTTGGATGCTACTTCAGATGCATTGCTCTGCATGCAACAAATTGTGCTTAAAAACAACCCTTGGTCTACAGTTTCAGTCCTCTGAGAACTGGTCTTCGTGGAAGATTCTGTACTCAGAGGCCACTGTAATGTATGTCAAAAATCAGGACTGTGGTTGTCAGGCAGACCCACCAGACATAAAAAGCCTCCCTTTCTTTGAACACAATAGAGGGAGGGAAAAGAAGGGTGGGTGGGAGGAAATCTATTGCCAGGGGCTGAGATTATAGAAGGCTTGTGGTTTGTAACAGCTCCGCCCTGAAAAATAATTACATCCTGAATTCTCTCTCCTTTTCTTCCTTGGCTCCTCCCCTGCCCTGAAGTAGAGAAAGTAAAAGGCTGCAGTCACTAGGAAACCAGGGAGATGCTAACGTCCAACTCTTCCCGCCTCCCTTTTCTTCCTTCTTCTTTCTACTTACTGTGACCTGAATAGAAGTGCTTGAGAGCAAGCCAGATATCAGCAAAGCAGTTGCCAAGTAAGCGAGCCATAACATGCTCAGCCTTGAGGTTCTTTACTCTTAACCCTTTCTTGCAAAGTTCACAAGTAATCATCCTAAGAACAGGTGAGTTCATTACCGGAATGAGCCCCCACCCCACTTGCTTTCTTTAGCTTCTCAAGAATCAAGAAAACGTGCAATTTCAACTTATGTAGGGATGTTGGAGAAGCAGCAGGTATCATGTGGAAAAGATTAACAGCAGTTGTATCGACTGGGCTGCAATCTTTAAATAGGTCTACCTGGCAGCCAGACCACTGAGACAAAGGAAGAAATTGAATACATTAGATTCTGCTGTCTGCCTTCTTTTAATGAGTTGCGCATAAGATTCTACAAAAGCAAGAGAAAACTAGTGATGGAGCATAAATGAGGGTGCTTTTGAGAATCTTAGCTATTTTTAAAAAAATTAAAATTAATATCATCCAATTGATAAAAAGCTTTAAAAGAATAAAAACATCACATACAAAGTATCTTTTATCCTACAGTGATGATTCAAAAATAGGCAATCTTTTGAAGTAGGATTATCATTTGAATGGGAAATTAGTCAGTGTTTCAATCAATGGGATAATAAACAAGTGTGAGTGTGGGAGGTCTTGTCTTATTTAAAGAACGAAATTCTGGTTAATGTATTCACAGAACAGGTATGTGGAAGTATGTGATGGCTTGAACAAAGGAGATTTCCTAGGACCTCCAAAAAACAATTATTGATGTTCATCAAGTTAATATGGTTACGAAGTTATTTTCAAAGAGAGTGAACTTCCACTGTCTGGCAGATTGTGTACAATGGAGGCCATTCAAAACCATTGTTACATTCCCAAGAATAATCAATCAACCAAGATCACATCAAGAGGAAGGTGTATAATACTTTGGGAAGCTTCAAACAACAACAGGTTAATATAAAGTCCTCTTTTCCATTGATAAAATGTTAAGTGTTCAGGGGAGAATAAAGGGAAGAGTAAAGAACAATGAAGGTATGCATGACAGGGTTGCAAGGAGAAAACCACTGTTCTTCAAAAAGAACCTTGCTATCCATTTACAATTAGTAAAACCACGAGTAATTCAAAGGATTAGAAAAAATTTCTGTGCATCACTGACATCAAAGAACTTTTTGGCTTCAATTAAAATGGTTGTGTTTGGTAGAAGAATCCAACCTGTGAAACTAGGGTGGTAGACCAATAGTTGGATATTAACTTACTTTCATTAATAAAAAGGCTGACGCAATACTTCGTTTGCTTTTTATGTGGATGATTCCAAATATGGTGTGGTATTGGGAAGTCAAGCAGAGAGAGCATTGCAAAAATGGCAATGTATAGCTTACTGTACACCTGGCTAACATCTGTTCACCATCTCTTCTTGAACTACTTTCTGAAGTGAGAAAAGCTGTGTGAAACTGAGGAATCTACAAAATATGTGAAAATCTAAGGGATCTATAAATCTCATTCAGATAAGATCCCTCCCCTTCAAACTACTTCACAAAGGTAACTGTGTTTGAGAATCATTAGCATCCAGGCTATAACTCATCGGTTATAGAATTATTTGATTGCCTAGCAAACAGCTCATTTCGCATTAAGAAACACAGATAGCCGTGATTAATAAGCCTAGGTACAAACCATCCAATATAAATCAGTTAATGGACATAAACAGTAACCAATACAGCTGAGGAACTTTGAAGAGTCAGACCTATGATAAAGGAAAAGCTGTACTTCACAATTTATAAGACACAGTTAATTCTTCTTGTTTTGTGCGTTGTGCGTGTAAACTTGTTTTTTTCTATTATTTTGGCCTTCAAGGGCAATAGGGATATATGATTGTGACATCACTTAGCAGTGATAAGTTTCCCTCAGTTTTAGAGGTATGCTGGAGTTACAAGAACAGTAAGTGATACTGAAAGCACAGTAGTGTTTGGCTTGGGCAATTACAAATTAATTAAGAAACTAAGATGATTTTGTGCTGGTAGAAACAGAGCACTCCTGAGATTAAATCACTAGTTGCTAGATTCATACAATAATCTAAGCTATGAATTGAGATTTAAAAAGCTGGGTTCACACGTCACATTTGAGCCAAGACCAAACAACCATATTATTGATTAACATAATATATTTTCCCAGTCATCTTTCGATTGTTTATGCTTTTAATAAGAGTTCTCAATCAGAGTCAATCTGGAGGGGGGGGGGGGGAATGGAGATTTTACAGCATCCTTCTCCTGGAGTGGGGTGGGAATGGAGATTTTACAGCATCCTTCTCCTGGAGTGGGGTGGGAATTCTAGTAAATATATCATTGCATTATCTCTTATCTCATTTTCTCAGGATCACAAACCCTATGTTTGAATCAACCAAAACATGTAGCATCCTGGAGGAGGAGCATGTTTCCTACCTGATCCCATAAGTGGTGATTCTAGGCTGAGGCTTGGAAGGGTGGATCCATGGCTGAATGAACGTGAAGACCCACTGATGCTGGAGCTGACCAGGGAACTCCCAGAGAAAGGCAAAGAAGAGGCAGCTGGAGGGCCAACCAGTTGGGTACCTGGCACTTCTTTATTCTTGCTACCCTTGGGCCTTCCTGGTCCATGCTTGCTTTTCTTATTGGTCTTGTGCTTTTTTTCTTTCACGACCTCTACGTCTTCCCCACTAAGAGACGGCATGCGCTTGTGGCTGCTGCCACTGCTGACTCCACCACTCGCACTTGGGGTGCCACCAGTAGAGTTGGAGGTCTTGTAGTCCATAGGGGAAGCATCCCGTCCCCTCTGCTGACTCACGGCTGAGGTGGAGAAACGCATGATGGAGCCAAAACCTGAAAAGATCACCTTCTGCTCAAAGACATCACTTTTCTGCCCTTCAGACAATGGAGAGCAGTGGGCGGAAGACGAGGATGAAGAGATAGGTTTGTGGTATTTTTCTTCCTCAGGTGGCTGCTGCTCAAGCTTTGGAAAGGTTACAAAGTCCTGGGAGAAGGGCAAGGAGCTGCATGAGGTACCTGGAAGAGGAACAAGCAGAATCCTGAAATTTACAGCAAGCTGACAGGAGATGTTTTAGCTACAGCTCTCACATGTATCATCAGCTACTGTCTGTTCATCACAATTAAATCAATTCAAAGCTACAATTAATTCCTGATCCTATTAATAAACTAAAATTTAGCTTTTGTGAAGTAATTGCATGCATTTACATTCATGGGCCTTGTCACCTTTCGCTCCATTATGTATAATAAATAAGCTCTATCTTGAAGTGATCTAATAATATATTTGGGCCACATTTTGCTATTTACAAACAGCTAGTCCTCATTTAGTGGCCTTTTGCAATTACAAGTGATGAAAAAGTAATCTTTGGATATTTGTATTTATATGACTTTTGTGAGTCAATAAAGCAAAAGAAAGATGAACTTAGATTATAAGCACAGTCACAATTTCACGTAGTGATTGCTTCATTTAACGATTGAGTTGCCAGTCTCTAACCAAGGACTACTTGTAGTAGATATAGAAAATGTTTGGAATTAGTGAGAAATGTTAGATGTGAGCCTTACTATATGGTTTCAAACTGAGTGTATGTACTATGTCAGTTAAACGTTGTCTTATTCTTGCTTTACTATGAGGAGGTACAATTGGACTTTTAAGTGCACATTGCATTTTTTGTTATGTATATATGATATATTGTCATATGTACTGTATAAATTCTTAGCTATACATACTTAATTAAGTCATTATTACTGCTACTACTTATATAGCATATTATTTCCATTTCAGAGATACAGAGAGAACAATAATCACTTCCCTAAAACAACTAATCAGAGCGATGGATCTTGATCCACACTATCAATACACTATCAATGGTCAAAAAAAGGAGAGTGGCAACCAGGGACTAATTGTCTAAAGAAATGAAAAAAAAGTCAAATATACCTAAATTACATAATTGATATATGTTGTGTTTACTTTTCTTGTATCATCCATCTGTATTCTGATAATCATCAGAGACAGGAAAGAACTTTGCAAGATATGGAAATCTAACTATCCGTTGATCAGCTCTACTTCATCCATTTGAGCAGATGAAAATTTACTGGGATTACCAACAATCCCTGAAGCTAAATTTGTATGTGTAAGAGTTAGAGGGAGGGGGGGAGAAAAGAAAGAAAACTTGCTTGGACTTACTTCTAGTCAATGCACAGCAGGAAGAGAATTAATAATAGGCCTCCTCCCTAAGAGGAGCCAAAGGTAATGTAAAATAGCGAAGACTTATCTACCATTTAGAAGACTTGCCCACCTGCCATTCAATAAAGCCTGGCTAATTCAGTATATTAGTCTGATATCTTCCCCTTCCCATTCTTCCTATCTCTTTCTGTTCTTCACCTGCTGGTGGAAATGTTACACTGGATGAAGATGAGCCAAAACCTATAGAGCTTTTCCCACTTCCAGACTTCTTGGTTTTGTGGCTTGTGCCATGGCTTGAAGATCTTTTGCCTTTCACCTCCGACCTGATGATCTCTGAGGCTTCTTTACTGCTCTCGTGGTGGTTGGTGGAGCTCTGCTGAAATGAACAAATAAGGGAGTTCAGAAGTCATGTGTTGAAGATTTTTGTCACATATGTTACTGCATGGCATATTTTATATTTCAGAAATATTTGCTCATAATGCCTAAGAGAGGCAATGATCTGCATCACCAAAATGACAGCCTCAGAAATTGTTTCTCATTCTGGATCCTGGGTGAAAAATATTGTGTTTTCTTCCATGGACGAGTATTTTAAAACTCAAATGAGTGCCAGAAAAAGGCATACTAGCCTTTGCTTAAAATGAGTATCACTGCCTGAAGCATTTCATCCGCCTGTCATATAGTTCTTACTTTTAACAAAATATTCCTAGAGCCTAGTCCAGATCCATTTGTGAATGTTACTAAGAATCACCTTGATGATATGGAAGGGGATGTTATATAAATCATTAAAAAAATCTTACCATTTGAACCCATGGATTTCATTCCCGTGAAAATAAAATTTGTTCCATAGAAGCATTTGGGAATTCTCAGAGTTATAATATCAAAAAATCTAGTGGATGCCATTGTGAAGTCAGGAGATGATGAATTTAAACAGGATTAATAACACATAGTCTTATAATAACCATTTACAAAAGAACAAAACACTCATACAACAATCTCTTTGTCTCTCTCTCAAATTTATATAGCTGTTGATCTCACAATAACTGACTGTGTGTGGATATAACCATAACAACTGCAGGTAAAATAACATTAGAATTAACCTATGATCATCCAGAAGCAGCATAGGTCAAGCATATTTATAGGATTTGTCTACAAATATGTAAATACACCCAGCAGGTTGGAAAACTAAAAAGAGGAAGAGTAAGTTCTCCAATCTGCTTTCAACATGTTATATATGTGATAGATTTAATAGTGTCTCATGTTTTTTCTTCCTGTTTTCCTTCTAAAACTGGTCTCTGAAAGATTTCTCTCCTATATCTCAGATAGTATCTTCAAGCAAAACTTCTAAATTATCTTATTCTTGCTTTACCATGAGGAGGAACAATTGGACTTTTAAGTGCACATTGCATTTTTTATTGTTTATATGATATGATATATTGTCATATGTAGTTGATATTACTATTACTTATATAGCACTTATTATCTTCTGTGTGGTTAATGCAATTAATATTTTATGTTTAATATTTATGTCCATGTGCCCATGTCATTGTGGGGCATTTTTTTATTTCTTTTAAGCAAACATTCAAACAGTCAAGCTTTCCTCTCCCTATTTTATTTTTGAACTGCTGCTCAATCACCCATATCAGCATTAATGTAAAATTATATGATACAGAATTGCCAGGGAAAGCCATAACTTGGATTTTACTGTTCCAGAGTTTATAACAAATATAAACCATGTAAATATTGTTTTACTATTCTTTCAGGATTATTTCAATAATTCCTATTCAAGTTTCCTAATTAAATAAGGGATCATACTTAATCATCTGTTTCCACGTCATTTTAGCCCCACATATTTTGTGATGTACAACTGGAAGCAATTTATCTATCAGCTGATTTACAGCTGGTTTTGCAGTTCTTCAAGCAAAAAACAATGTTTGAAAAACCTAGAGAAGAAGCTTTAAAAGGAGTATAAACTGAAACAATGAATAACAATAAGGTGGAAGGTGGAAGACCAACAGTGAAACAAAAAATACACCTTGGGTGCTCTGCAACAGATACAGCAATTATACATTAGAATCAGAGATAATCCTGCATGGGCAATTTACTTGGGTGGTATCATTTTGAGGAGACAATCTCTCTCCTTCTGCTCTCTACACAATACACTAATTGTGTACAACTGTATTATTAGTTGAATAAAAATCTACTGCATTTTCTCTGTCAACCAGTTCTATGCAATATGCATTCCAGATGAGAACATGAAAATCGGGGCTTGAAAATCCTGAAGTTCTATAATTTCTCCAAAAATATAACTCTTTGGATGAATATAGATAGTTCTTGACTTACAACCATTTGTTTAATGGCTGTTCACAGTTACGACATCACTGAAAAAAGTAACCTATGATCAATTCTTAACACTTATGACCGTTGCAGCATCTCCCGAATTCACAAGATCAAATTTCAGGTGCATGGCAACTGGCATGTATTTATGACAGTTGCAGCATCCAGTCATCTTGGGATTGTCGTTTGCAACCTTCCTAGGGAGCTTCTGACAAACGAAGTCAGTAAGGGAAGCCAGATTGCTTAACAACCACATGAATCATTTAACAACTGCATTGATTTGTTTAACAATCATGGTAAAAAAATGATTGTAAATTGGGGCATGAGTCACTTAACAACTGTCTTGCTTAGTAATGGAAATTTTGTCTTCAATTCTGGTCATAGATTGAGGACTACCTGTAATCAACCAAGTTGATTTATATATTCAGTTGGATCTGTAACAATCTCTTTGAGTCTCCTAAACATTGCAGAGGCCAATAGAATGGAAGACAATGCAAGGATGGTGCAAGAATTCCTTGAAGAAATGCTATATACTTATATATACATATACATATACACATATATATATATCTCAAAACCATCACACATCCATCAAGCTAATTCAGAAAACTGACCTCATTAACTACTCCCTTTCAGAGAGAAATACGAAGGAGGGTTTCCTCCTTATCAGTTCCTCTCTGCTAATGTACATTGGAAGCTATTCACAATACATGCAAAGTTATAGGAATGCAGAGAGGCGCATGTTGGGGGTGGAAATAACTCAGAAACCACATCAAAGACCTTTTAAAAGCCACAATGCCAAAAGATGACTGAAATAATAGTAATGTATTAATGCCGGGCCAAAATGTGATTCCAAAATGAACCTTAAACGGAAAATTCATTAAATTTTCAAACAGCCAACAGAAAGACCCAGCTGTTTTCAGAGATTACGGATGAGAAGCTCAGACTTTTCCATTAAAGTTCAAACATAACAACCAATTTAGGAAGCAAACTGTTTGCCATTCTTTTCAAGGGTGTCACTTTTGCATGGCCTGACTGACAATTGTCCTTTAAATTTCACCATTTAAACTAAACGAGAAGTCTTAGTTTTCCAACTTGCTGTCCTGTTACAAGGTCTTTTTCTGCCATGAATTTTGCTGCCAAACTCAGAGTGGGGGCTCTATATTGGGTCGGGGTGGGGGTAGTGGAGAGTCTGTGGCCCTTCAGATGCCACTAATCTACTATTCCCAGCAGTGCAGCAAACACAATCAATAGTGGGGATAGTAGTAAATTCTGGAGGACCAGAATTTCTATTCTATTTAAATCTTATTCAGTTCAATTACGTATTTTGTGTTTATGGCAAACACTTTTCATTTAGGCACCATTAAGCGTCTTTCTTCATCCTTTCTGATTGCTTCTTTCTTTTGCTGTCAGATCCCTTCCTACCTTAATAGCTGTTGCATTTGCCTACTTTACTACACTACTGTCACTGCCTCTATCTTAAAATATTGTGGCATAGATTTAATTCCACGAACCTGTTACAGCTACCAGCTCCAGCCAGACAGGCTCCCAGCCATTTGGATTTTGGCCAATCTACTAGCTGGATGACAGCAACTGGAATAGCTTCAGTGGGGCATAAGACAGACAGCCACTAGTAAGGATTTGCTTTTTGCTTCAACCCTTTGGAAACATGACTGAACTTTTTTGAGCTCTTCACCATCAACTCTCTGAGTTGCAAGATCAGCAATATTCAGAGAGTAAATAATAATACAGATGTAGAAACATCAACCACACACAGTCAATAAATATTAACACATAAGCTATCACTTGAGAGAAAATTATACCCTGTATCAGTCACTTCTCAATACTCCTGCATATTCTGTCCTGTGAGTCACTCTCGAATAGAATAACAGAGTTGGAACCAAGAGGACCTTCTCTTATGAAATGAATTTAAGGAGTTACTCAAACTAGAGAATATAAGAGTAGGGAAGGGAGAGTGCACAAAAGCCACTGAAGGCAGAGCTGTGCACTATGGTTTAGATTAGGTCTGCTGGGAGTAAGAGGAGGAAGAGAGAACAATGAACAATCTAAATCAGACAAGAGTGCCCCACATTCAAACAGAGATGCCATGGAACAACTCATGAAGCCAAAAATTAGCTGGGAAGAAAGAAATGCCTAGAGAGATAGAGCTTCAGGAGGTTTGTCCATATTTCTGGAATAAAACTTCATCCTTTCTCCTGTTTCAAGACATTATGGTACACAGAAGTGGGTTCCTGCCGGTTTGGACCGGTTTGGTGAATCGGTAGTTGTTTGCTGGCCTGGGCCGCTGGAATTGGCCGTGATCCAGGCCTGCCACACCTCTCAACTGGTTCCCCGGTTGGGGCGGCATGTTCCCCCCATTTTTCAATGTTCTGCACATGCACAGACCTATTTATGAGCAACTGCACACGTGTGCGGAGCATTGCGCGCACATTGAACCAGCAGTAATGCCGGCAGCAACCCACTCCTAACTGTAAGTATGTATACCGGAGATGACTGAATGTGCCTCCAAGTAGCCCAGCCAAAATGACTTTCATGCATCCATAATTTCAAAACATAATGTAGGTATGATATTGGAAACTGTAGCCAGTGCAAAGCTTTGCAATTCACCTCCTAAAGGAAGTAATTTATCAGGAACAAATTGCACCTATTTACTACCAATCTCAGTGCAAGTTTAACTTAGAGATAATCAGATCTCTGATAGCTGCCAGAATTGAAAGTAATTTTTTTTCCAGGAACAAATCTCCCGAAGTTCTCCTTAACAGCTTTTATGAAGGAGAAAACAGTCACAATACAGACATTCTAACAACTGAACTACTTCCAGTTTAAAACTGACTATATATACAGCAGGGAAGACACTTTCTGAGCCTCCTTCTTTAAAGTGCATTGGAGGGGACGCATATATGGTATCTGTTCTTTGATAAAAGAGGAATTTTAATATTTATTAAATTGTTTACATTGAGGTTGCTTGAATCCTTATTAGCATAAGAATTGATTCCTAAATCAAGCATTACAAACTTCATA